TTGGCGTCCTTTCCTTGCTGGCTCTGCAGGCCCAGGGTGAGCCTCTCAGAGTCATGTTTGAGGCAGCTGCAGCCCAGGAACCCCTGGAGGGAGATGGCCACGTCCCGTCCATCTCTCTGTTTGAGGATGACAGTTCTGTGCTTCAAGATTCAGGTGAGTGAGGTCATCAAGACAGAGACCAGGGCTGGGAAGGAAGCTGAGGACTCACTGAGCAATCGAGTCTGCAGCTGGTCTCACAGCAAGTGACAGGAGACACTGTCATTTGACTGTCCCTTCCTCTTCTTACTGAATGGTGACACCCTAGTGACAATAATGTGACCTTTCTGCAAGGCATGAATCCAACCTAGATATGTCACAATCACTATGTTCAATGTAAGAGATGAGCTGTCTCTGGATGTTAGTGAGGAGGATTGCTCTTAGACAAGCGTCTCCTCCATTTATGCTGAGCTCTATCCCTTGCAGTACATTTGTAGCTCCTTTTCCTTCAGTTCTATTTCACAGCTTCTCCTTTTTGCTTGAGGCTTGTTTTGGACTGTGATCCTCATCCCTGTGGCTCCATTGAGCCAGCACTTCAGCTTATTGATGTTCAGGTGACCTGTTAGCTATTTCATCCAGCATGGCCTCACACCTCTGCTTTCTGGCCTCCTGACTACGGGAGTGGCCAGCATGGGTCACCATCCACAGCATGGTGGGGAGGGTCAGATATTCGTGGGCTGTAGAGTGGACACCTGGAAACCCCTCTGTTGGCTGCCTCGTCAAAACTGTCAGCTCTCACTGCTGTCCATGTTGACTAATGCTTCTTCTGTGCCTTCAGGGGTCCAGGCCGGACGAAATTGTTACTGCCGAATAGGAGACTGCCAGGTTCTGGAACGCACTTTTGGCACTTGCATTTACTTCAACCTCATCTACAGATTCTGCTGTCGCTGAGCCTTGTGTGTAACAGAAAATGAGATTGTAATCTTTGAAACATGGTGTCTCCCAGCCCATGTACCCATTGCTTTCCCCACCCTAAATAAATCATCACAGAAAAGGCAGTGTGTTTGATCTTTCCTGGCTGGTGTCTCTATCCTCAGAGCTCTGAGCTCTGCAGCCAAGCCCCAGCCTCTCCATCACACTCCCGCAGTCCAACTCTGGCTCCCTTGCTGACCTCCGTGAGGAGTTCACAGTCTCCTCACATGTGAGAACACAGAGTGGCTCTGCGCATCCCTCCCCCTCCCCCTGCTCTGAGCCCTGCCCTCATCTGCCCAGGACACTCTCTCACTTCACCTCTGCAAAGGCAGTGCCAGCCATTCTCCACTTCAATTCAAACAGTGGCAAAGCTACCCCTCCTCTTAGGAAATCACATCTACTCAGGTAAAGCTTGGGAGTGACACGGAAAAGCACAGATCACCTGCCAGGCTGCACAGGCGGCTCCGTGTCAGGTCAGGAAGTGAACACAGTGTCGGGAAGGGGGAAAGCTGAGAGTCCCATCTGCCCACCTCTCCTGAAGCTGTGTTTGCTAGAGGGAGAGCTGGTGTCCAGAGACAAAAATCTACTATGGGCAATTCCCCCACTGCCCTCCACGCCTGTCTGAGCTGTTGGGATTCTGACTGTGCGGGTGAGACACAGCCACAACTATGCACCAGGGTAACTCAGAGAAAGAGTCAGAGGTGTGAGTAGCCCTGCGTCCCCCTCCATGCTGGCCGCACTGAGGTTGGCAGGACGCCAGACCCTTGGTCAGGTCAAGGCAGGGGCTGGTGTGATTTGCAGCTTCAAGAACAGGAGCTGACTGACGTTACCTACATTTTTGCACTACTCACTTTATTCCCTTTCCATATCGGGCACACATAGTGTGCCTGTACATCACAGTCAGGCCTTTTATTATTTTCATTATTATTACTACCAATAATATTATTATTATCATCATCACAATGTAGCTGTACAGAGGAGTTGCAGTTCTAAAACTCAGATTAGAAATAAAAATTTTTTGGCCAATATCATCCCTCCGATTGTTCTCTTACTCTTCCCTCTTGTCTGACCCCACATTTTTTACACAGGACACACTGAATATCATGCTTAAATTGCTCCCCTTCCTCCTCCATCCCTGTTTCATCCACTTGACCCACAACCCACCCAAAAATGTTTCTACTTCCTAGAAGAAGGAAAAGGTTGCAGAGCACTAGCACTAGTTATATTTTAAAGCAAGATTTGAAACTCATTTTTTACAATAGCAACAGAAAATTAAATTAGTTTGCCTAATTTCACAAACAAAGAAAAATGCAGGCCATGATGGATTCACGGAGGAATTCTACAAACACGTGGAAATTTTTCATCCCAATGCTCTTCTAGCTATGCTACAATACTGAACAGGAAGAGCCTTGTCGGACACTTTCTTTTTGAGTGAGTGGTTTAAAGCATGTGTATCTTTGGGAATATCGTTTGAGCAGATGGTCAACAGCAGACCATAGCGGTATTCTTATCATCAGAGACAGCTTCAAACAAACACGGGCCACGAGGCTGTGGGAAGCAGGAGCTCAGAAGGACGTCGGGGGGATCTGAGGGCCGGGCCGGTCTCCCTCCTCATGAAAGGTGCCGCAGCCAGGGCAGCGGGGCCCAGCCCTGAGCCTCCTCCCCTCAGACCTATAAACACAGCTCTCCTCCTCCCTGGCTCCAGCTCCCGCTGCCCTGCAACAGAGCCTGTGCACCATGAGGACGCTGGCTCTCCTCGCTGCCCTTCTCCTGCTGGCCGTCCAGGCCCACAGCGCAACTCTGCCCGAACCAGCGGAGGAGGTCCCAAACCAGAACCAGCCAGAGGATGGGGATGAGGAAATGGCCAAGACCTTCTCAGGGGCCGGAAACTCTACTCTCCCTGATGCAGGTGAGAGATGCCAGCCAGCCTGGCGGAGGCTCGCCGTCTGGGGAGGAAGGATTGGGTTAGGCTGTGGGAAAGGGTCAGAAAGTCTGTATCTCTTACATGGCTGCATTCAGATTTTCTGGGCCTTCACATTCTCATCTACAAATTGGAGATTCATAGCTACATCCTCTGAAATTCAGTGCTAAGTAATGTCTCCATTCCAGTTGCTTCAGATTTAGACAAACATAGAAAAAGTTTCTTTCTGGACCAAGATAGATAGAGCTCATTCTGGAGAAGACATTCGCTTGGTGTATTGAGGAAGCTGTTCAGGTCTGGGGACTGAGCAGCAGGGTGCTCTCACACCATGAAGGAGCATCAGGAACACTAGAATGAAGGCAGCCGAGAGCCTCTTTGCCATGAGCCACACTTGCGGTGTGAGCACATTGCTCTGGACAGAAGCTGGTCACTGGCCTGGTTCTAATACAGCCCACATGACCGCACACAAAGCTGTGTGGGGACTCTTTCTGCTCTGGCCCCTGTGACTTATTGATGCTTTCTGTGTCTACTGCTCTAGCCTGGTCCTCCACCGGCTGCCGCTGCACAAAAAACCCCTGTAGACGACATGAAATCCCCCTTGCCTACTGTGGAAATCCACGTCAAAGGATCAAACGCTGCTGCCGCCGCTGATAATGAACAGAGACAAGAAGGCTTCACCACGTACTTCAAGATCTAGAAGGAAACTTCTCTCCCCTGATACCTGCTCTCACCCTTCCTTCTCTATCTATCTCCAATAAATTCCAAGCAGTAAGACCTCTCTGTGTGCGCTTCACTGCTGTGTGGGGTTGGTTCACTGAGATCCTCAGGGAGACTCTGGGAAACACACTGCTGGGTCAAATACTGGAAATTCCATGGTCAAACACAAACAGAAATGGAAGCTTAAGGGTGGAGCAGGGCACTGGGTCTCTGGAGGCCCAAAGGCCTCACAGGTTAGCAAGTGGAGCCAGGAGGGCTGGGTGAGGATGGGCTGGGTGGGAAACCACCCTCCAGCTGCCCTGTGGACAGTGTGCCCAGCCCTTGGTGAAGGCGGGGCTGGCACATAAGAGTCAATGGAGAACCACAGGGGCCAGAGATGTGCTCCACCCGTGGGCTGCTGAGGAAGAGCCCTGTGCGCACGATGTTTACACCACCACCTGACCAGATGTGAGCATCCTGACCGTTCAGGAGACAGGGCTTGCGTGTGGCGTATCTGGGCAGGCGGGAAGGAGGGGCAGGGGGAGGGGAGAGGGCATCGCAGTCTCCCCCTCTTCCCTCCTTGCTGGAGTTTGCTGTCTCACAGCTCATGTGCATCTGTTTTCTTCCAGCCCATGTCGACTCCATAGAAATCTTGATGAGACTCCCTCTTCCCCAGCTGGGCAAATGTTTACAGAGAGTCATGTGAATCCAGTGTTCCAGTCTGTTCCCTTTACAGTAGACTAGGAATCCACAACCTCATCCCCAGGGAGGTGTGGGACAGGCAGGATGCACAACTATAGCTTAGGAAGGACAATGGAAATGGGAATGTCAAGGGAGCTTTTGATGGGAAGGGGAATGGGGTGGAAAGGCCCCTCCTGTTAGGTACATTCCTATCACATTGAACCAGGCATGGACCCCGAGCCGCCCGCTGACCAGTTCCCTCGGCTCCAGAGCATCCCCTTGGGGCCGCTGGGGAGTCGCAGCACGCTTTCCTCTGCATGAGGCTCTGCAGTGACATGTGATGTCTGCCATCTACAGACTGTCAGGGCCGGCAGGAGGTGGACGGTGCAGAGCTGGAGCCTGTTCTGGAGATGACGGAGCGCTGCTCCATCTCCCATGTTGGTCCCAGTGCTCCCAGTATGGCTTGGTTTGTGAAATGTATTTTTCATTATCTCATAGTTATACAGGGGTTTTCATTCACTGCCTCTTAGCTCTGCGTATTTGAAAACTGTCTTTCCTGAGAGCCTCTGTGTCCTGGGCAGACCTCTGTGTGGCTTTCTCTACCCAGACAAGTGATAATGTGAACTAGCCCATGGCTGCCTGCAATGTAGGGAGGAAGAAAATGGGATGGAAGTTGGCTGACTATCAATGCTTAGTGGATAGCCGGCCGAGAAGATAGGTTGAGTCCTTAGGGTCCTGCCTAGGCCTCCTCTCAGCACTTCTGATGAGGAAAACAGTCTGGGTTCAGTCTTTCTGCTTTCCTCTGTAGCCTCTTGATCCCCGTCACTTCCTGTTTCCAAAGCTGGCACCCTTCTCCCAGACTGTCCCCCAGTTGCTGTTTTGCTGCCCTCTCATCTCCTTGG